GTCCTGACAGTCGGGTGTCACGACGCATGCAGAGGCGTCTTAAACCGCCTCCACATCAACATCTCTACTCCTCCTCCGTGTGGCCGAGGCCGATGTAGCTTGCAGAACCAACAAACCGTGTACACGAGGTGGTGAGTGAGCTGCATCACGGCGTCAGGAGCAGCGAGCGGTGATACTGCTGCCTCCTCCCTCCGTGTTCGTGAAACGGGCGACGGGGACTTTCAGTTACAGGGATGTGGACCCCACGATCTGTTGTGGTTGGCAGTGATTCCCCGTGCGACCGAATGCCAACCTTTGCAGGCCGGTGCCAGTGGATGGCAATCCCCGCTTTGCCCAACAACAATCCCTATCAATTCGCCGTAATGATGCCTCCCTCCGTGTTCGTTACAGGGATGTGGCACCTACGATCTGGTTGTCAGCTGTTCCCTTGTGCGAGCGAATGCCACCTTTGCTGGTGGATGCCAGCGGAGGACAGCAAACACTAATCCCAATCATGTACATTTGCGGGGACATTTTTTTATTGCTATTATTTAAATGTGGCCCTCAATAAACCATTGCGTTCACCTCGCGGCTCCGGACAAACGCCGCTGGATTCGTGGCATCGGACGAAAGTCGCGCGTCAAGAGGCAACATCACGACACCACACTCTGGTTATGTTTTACTACATGGAGAATCAACAACACGGCACCACACTCTGGTTATGTTTTACTAGATCGAGAATCAACATCACGACACCACACTCTGGTTATGTTTTACTAGATCGAGAATCAACAACACGACACGACACTCTGGTTATGTTTTACTACATCGAGAATCAACAACACGGCACCACGCTCTGGTTATGTTTTACTAGATCGAGTATCAACATCACGGCAGCACGCTCTGGTTATGTTTTACTAGATCGAGAATCAACATCACGACACCACACTCTGGTTATGTTCTACTAGATCGAGAATCAACAACACGACATCACACTCTGGTTATGTTTTACTACATCGAGACTCGGCATCACACCCTGGTTATGTTTTACTAGATCGAGAATCAACAACACGACACCACACTCTGGTTATGTTTTACTACATCGAGAATCAACACGACACCAAACTCTGGTTATGTTTTACTAGATCGAGAATCAACAACACGACACCACACTCTGGTTATGTTTTACTAGATCGAGTATCAACATCACGGCATCACACCCTGGTTATGTTTTACTACATCGAGTATCAACATCACGGCACCACCCTCTGGTTATGTTTTACTAGATCGAGTATCAACATCACGGCATCACACCCTGGTTATGTTTTACTACATCGAGAATCAACATCACGACACCACCCTCTGGTTTTGTTTTACTACATCGAGACTCAACATCACGGCATTGCAAAGGACGGACCGTGCGCGCGCGACAGATTTTTATTTTTCCAGCTTTACAGGGGCCCATGGAGCGCGGATCATCAGAAATGGCAATCGAACACCGCTGATACAATTATCGACGTGCCGGCATTGCATGGAACAACAACACGCAGTGACGATGGGCGAGTCCATCGCTGGAAATTTGCTTTTGCATTCTTCAATTACGTGGAGTGTTTCTGCACACGCGGAGAGAACACTGCAGGACCCGGAGAGAATCAGCGTTGCCCGGGGACGGCTCTCGAGATTCCACGGTTCAGCAAACCTCTGTCCACCTGGTAGCTCTGCAGGTGGGTGTCACACGCAGCCTGCCCTCACCACCACCACCACCCAGACCCAGCGTCCAAGACACCGAAGTCACTGGCGGAGTTCACTGAGCGCGGTGGCAAAGCCACGCGGTCTGAACCCACTGGCTGGGCAGAGCAACCCAGGGAATGATTCCCTGCTGACGAGGCTTGCGATGCGCGACTATGGGGCCGCCTCACAGACGCCTCCCCACAGGTGACACAAAACACCCCCACTGTGTGTGTGTGCTTACAAACACCACACCAGGTGTAAGCACACCCACTGTGTGTGTGTGCTTACAAGCACCTGGTGTGGTGCTTGTAAGCACACACACTGTGTGTGTGTGCTTACAAACACCTGGTGTGGTGCTTGTAAGCACACACACTGTGTGTGTGTGCTTACAAACACCTGGTGTGGTGCTTGTAAGCACACACACACACTGTGTGTGTGCTTACAAGCACCTGGTGTGGTGCTTGTAAGCACACACACACACTGTGTGTGTGCTTACAAGCACCTGGTGTGGTGCTTGTAGGCACACACACACACTGTGTGTGTGCTTACAAGCACCTGGTGTGGTGCTTGTAAGCACACACACACACTGTGTGTGTGCTTACAAGCACCTGGTGTGGTGCTTGTAAGCACACACACCCACTGTGTGTGTGTGCTTACAAGCACCTGGTGTGGTGCTTGTAGCGGAGCTAAAAGGCGGCCCGGGCGTGGTTCTGTCCATCCAGCCCCTTTGCCTGCCGTGTCCCCCTTCTCATGCGCTCGCTAACAGCGCTTACACCCCGCCAGTCCTGTTAAGAGGCTACACGGGGGATCTTTGTCTTGTGAAGGATTCGCCTGTGCGCATGGAGGAGACGACCGTGCGTGTGGATGAAACATCCGTGTCTCCACATGTGGAGGGCTCGCCTGTGGGTGCACGGAGGCAAGGCCACGTCCCCCACTCAGGAGGCATTGACCCATCCAGAGTGCGAATCGACGAGTGTTGGAGGAGGCGTGGGGTGAGGTGGTGAGCGCCACAGCCCCAACCCGCACTCTGCTCTCTCTCTCAACACCCGAGTGCTCGGAGTGATTTCCCTTCGGTCGCTCCGGCTTGGGACCCCGGCTCTGCCGAGCAGTCGCGTGTGAACGTCACACGGGGAGTCTGGAAACATCAGTCGAGCATCGACGCATCGACGCAGGGCCCCCCCCCACTCCCGTATCTAACGCAGAGAGGGACCCTGCCTCCAAACATCTGTCAGCTCACCAGAATTGGTTCAAGCAAACCCGACTCGGCCGACGAAGACAGCGAATGGCACAAACCGGTCCACAGTTTGCTCGTGTCGAACCAAGGCCGGCGAAACTGCGCACAAACGGAAGGTCCGCGGGGCCGCCGGGATGCGTGGGACACTCTCTCAATTTCGAACGTGCAGGACAGAGATCCGCAACCGGCGCGCATGATAGGCAATCTGCAGGCGTGCACAAGGATTCGTGTGCTCGCCATTCGATGAATTGTTACGAATCGCGGGGGGGGGGTCCCAATTGTAATCACGTTTCTATTTGTTAATTTTAAACATCGCGGTGAACGTAGCCAGCTGCCCTCTGGCGGCAGCATTCAAACCAACCCATTGCACGTCCCAAGCGTCAAAAAAACTCTGACGTGCACAATGTGCGATGCGTGTAATCGTAGGCGTGAAACAATCAATTTTAATTCGCCGAATCGATGCATCGTTACACCTCCACCTGCAGCAGTGGTGGGAGGGGGGGGGGGAATGTGGACAATGCACTGGTCCCGTTAGTGAGCACACGAGGAAATGGGTGAGCTTGCACGTGTGGAGACGTGTGTGTGTGTGAAGACGCGTGTGTGTGTGTGAAGACGCGTGTGTGTGTGTGAAGACGTGTGTGTGTGTAAAGACGCGTGTGTGTGTGTGTGAAGACGCGTGTGTGTGTGAAGACGTGTGTGTGTGTGTGAAGACGCGTGTGTGTGTGTGAAGACGCATGTGTGTGTGAAGACGCATGTGTGTGTGAAGACGTGCGTGTGTGTGAAGACGCGTGTGTGTGCTCGCTAACAGCACTTGCCCCTACAGTCTGTTAAGGCTATATGGGGGATCTTTATCTTTGTGTGCGGGCAAGGCTGCGATGGCTGGGTCATGTAGCCCGCATGCCCAGCCACCGCATGCCGAAACAGCTTTTGTTCGGCCGGATTGAGGGGGCTAAACGGGCGCGGCACGGGCTAGATAAGAGATGGAGTGATGTGGTACAGGAGGACGTGGAGCTGAGTGGACTTGCCGATGACTGGTACCAGCGGTGTCAAGATCGGCCTCTGTGGAGAAGGCTCGTGAAGGACGCTACTGGGCAGTTGGAGGCAGTCGCCCTCCAACAACAATGGAGGGCGGAGGAGCGATGCTCACAACAACGAGCGGAGCGCCGGGTGGCTAAAGCACAGCGGGTTGGCACAGTAGGGGGCACAGGTGGTGCATCAGCCAGTCATCTCAGTCATCTCAGTCAGTCGACCCGTGGCACCTGGGTCTGCCCCGTGACCTCCTGCCAGCGGGCGTTCGACACTTCACGTGGCCTCAGGGTGCACATAGCCTGGCACAAGCGTCGTGGTGACGTCACCGCCACTTAGTGGCGAATGGCGGTTGTTGTTGTGTGTGTGTGAAGACGCGTGTGTGTGTGTGCGTGTGTGTGAAGACGCGTGTGTGTGTCTCTGTTTTTGTTTAAAGCAGTTGCTGAGCAAGAAGCCCAAAGGCACAAATCTTCAAGCGGGCCAGCAACAAACCGGACGATCAAACGTAAGGGTGGGGTAGTAACACCGTTTCTTGAAACGAGCCAATGGCAGGCAAGTCCATAGTCGGTCGGGGGGAGAGGTGTGGGGGGCGGCAGCGTTGAGGAGAGAAGGAATCAGGAGGAGAAGTGTCGTGACCTGCAGCGCGGTGCCCTGAACACCGTGTGGATGAGATCAAACGGTCGGTGTCCGCGAGGCCGAGTCCCGAACATCGGTGGAGAAATCAACGAGCGGAGTCGACGGGAAAACAGCGACGGTGGAGTCGGCGAGCGTGAGGACGCGCGACCGGATGCGAGTTTGGAGCGTGCGGGGAGCGTGCGGGGAGCGAGCGGGGAGCGAGCTGGGAGCGTGCGGGGAGCGTGCGGGGAGCGAGCGGGGAGCGAGCTGGGAGCGTGCGGGGAGCGAGCTGGGAGCGTGCGGGGAGCGAGCGGGGAGCGTGCGGGGAGCGAGCGGGGAGCGAGCTGGGAGCGTGCAGGGAGCGAGCTGGGAGCGTGCAGGGAGCGTGCGGGGAGCGTGCGGGGAGCGTGCGGGGAGCGTGCGGAGAGCGTGCGGGGAGCGAGCGGAGAGCGTGCGGGGAGCGAGCGGGGAGCGAGCTGGGAGCGTGCGGCTTGGCCCCTCGCGTGCCGCGTCACATCTTGCCGAAGCACTCCTTGGCGTTGCTCCACACGCCGATGCCCTTCTTGCACACGCCGATCTGCGTGACGGCGTAGCCGATGAGCGCCTCGCGCACGTCGCGCACCTTCTGCCTCTGGAAGCGGGCGACGTCGCCGGCGGCGCGCCGCGAGAACTCGGCCGCCTCCGCGTCCCTCGCCGCCAGCGCCGCCTCGTCGAGCGCCACCCGCGCCCCGAGCTGCTCGGCGCGAGCCCGGCGCGCCTCCGCGGCCTCCCGCCCGAACAGCTTGTCGGCGACGCCGCGCAGCGAGAAGGGGCGCGCGACGGCGCCGCTCGCCAGCTCGTCGCGCCGACGCTTCTTGAGCGCCAGCTCCCTCGCGAGCGTCTCCAGGCCGGCCCGCAGCAGCTCGGCCTCGCGGCACACGCGGCGCAGCGCGTCGGCGTAGCGAAGGTACTCCTCGAGGCGCTCCGTGTAGTGCTCCTCCTCCTCCAGCAGGTCGTCCGCGGAGGCGGCGTGCGCGTCCATGTGGTGCCCGGCGCTCTGCAGCCCGTCGCCCATCTCGCGCCGCTCCAGGGCGCTCCACTCGCTGAAGACGCGCCCGTAGTTGGCGTGCACCTTGTAGACGCCGTACAGGCGGTCGGCGGCGCGCGCGCGCGCCTTCAGGACGGCGCCGATCGCCGCCCGCAGCTCCTCGGCGTACGCCTTGAGCTCGGCGAAGCGCCGGTCGGGGTTCTCGAGGCGCGGGGCGGCGGCCAGGGCCCCCGCCACGCGGGAGTCGGCGCGCGCCCGGAAGCCGGCGGCCGCGACGGCCTCCCTCCAGCCGCGCTCCTGCACGAGGAAGGAGGAGAAGAGGGCGTCGCGCGCCAGCTCGGCGTGCGACGCCACGCGCAGCAGGAACGCCTCGAGGCCCGCCCGCCGCCGCTCCACGAAGTCGGGGTCCATGTTGTCGGGCGACAGCTTCTGCCACGCGAACTCGGCGCGCTTCTCCGGCAGCGGGGGCACCACGACGTGCGGGAACGACGCGAGCAGGTGGTGGCGCAGCAGCTCGAACTCGCTGTAGCGGCGCCACAGCGAGCGCGGGGGCCCCTCGCCCGAGCGGCTCTCCACCAGGTAGACGGTGAAGACCTCGCGGCCGTCGGCGCGCCGCTCCGGCTCGCACACGCTGATCTCCACGCGCCGCGCGGGGCACGCTCCTCCAGCCACCGCTCCCTCCGCTCCCTGGGGCGCAGCTCCACCCACCGCTCCCTCCACTCCCTGGGGCGCAGCTCCACCCACCGCTCCCTCCACTCCCTGGGGCGCAGCTCCACCCACCGCTCCCTCCGCTCCCTGGGGCGCTCCTCCACCCACCGCTCCCTCCGCTCCCTGGGGCGCAGCTCCACCCACCGCTCCCTCCGCTCCCTGGGGCGCTCCTCCACCCACCGCTCCCTCCGCTCCCTGGGGCACACCTCCACCCTCCGCTCCCTCCGCACTCTCCGCTCTCTGTTCCACTCCCTCTGCTCCCCCTGCTCCTCCCGCTCTCTGCTCTGCTCGCTCCGCTCCCTCCACTCCCTCCACTCTCTGCTCCACTCCCTCCACTCCCTCCACTCTCCGCTCCACTCCCTCCACTCCCTCCACTCCCTCCACTCTCTGCTCCACTCCCTCCACTCTCCGCTCCACTCCCTCCACTCCCTCCACTCCCTCCACTCCCTCCACTCTCTGCTCCACTCCCTCCACTCCCTCCACTCTCCGCTCCACTCCCTCCACTCCCTCCACTCTCTGCTCCACTCCTTCCGCTCCCTCCACTCTCTGCTCCACTCCCTCCGCTCTCTCCTCCGCTCCCTCCGCTCCTCCCTCTCCCCCCGCTCCCACAGTCCCCGGGATCTCCGGCGATCCTGGGGACCCTACGGGCTCGGCCTCCGTCTCTGCCGGGCCCCGCTCCGCCGCCGTCTGCCCCGGCTCCTCGCGAGGCTCCGTAGCCCCGGGGTCCGGCTTTGAGACGCGGTTGGCATCCGTGGCGGCGGCGGCGTCGCCGGGGGTTGGGCCGAGGTCGCCGAGGGGACCCAGTCCGTCAGCCATGAGTCACGACGGGTCGACGCGCAGGGCCTGCGCAGGGCCAGTGCGTCGACAGGAGCCACCCGGTTACGACACTCGAGGCAAACGCTCTCACGCACAAAGATCAAGAGCGCCACTTGTAGCCCACGACAGGCCGTTGGGGGCGAGGTGCCGTTAGCAAACGCCTCTCGAGGCCGGCACAGGCACGCGATCGGGTGGGGTGGCCAGCGCCACGCCCGGTCGCCTTTGTCTCCCCGAGTGCCGATGTGTTACGCAGCGTACCAGAGCACTCGTTTTAGGCTAAGTCGACCTGGGGGAGGCCCAGGTCCGGTCCAGATATGCGCTACCGACGTTGGATGAGCGGTAATCAAACTGCTTGGCTCACCTCTTCCCCCACTCTGCGCGGTCAAACACGCGAAGACGAAAAAGCACCTCAGGACAACGAAGCTCCTCCCATTACCACGCTCCTAGTAACCACAAACCGCAGGCCTGGGCCGGTCCATGAATCTTATTATTGTTGTTGTCGTTATCTGTGGTGTCCGTGTCCTCCTGTTCCCCGTCATCCCCGCGGATAAAAGGAGACTTGGGAGGTGGTCGCTGTAGGGGGGCCTAACCTCAACCCGGTTGTTGGGGATGGTGGATCGGTGATCATGATGATGATGATGCTGCTGCTCATGATGATGCGAACATGGTCACGATGTAATCACTGATGATTGTCGCTACGTGTTTGCCGATTCGCGGAAGCCTCTCGGCAGTCCAAGGACTCTATACCGACAAGTGTTTCACATTCGAGAAACTCAGAGAATACTCACATTCACTTGCGTACCTGTCAACCCGTACGGTTTACCGCGAATTCTTGTGCAGGAAAATTGAGTTTCCAGGTCCATAGGGCATACAGCCATTTTAATATGGGCAAAACATTATTTTTTGTTGATTTGTTTGTGTTTCTCCCTTGTGATGGGAATTTGTAGGGTGAACATTGAGATTTGCAAGGGACACGGGGTGACCAATGAGCTCTGAGCTGGTGTGTAATAAAGTAGGGCAATCGTAAGGGGTTGACAGCTGTGCACTTGGTCTACACCAGCTGTTCTTCACCATTACAGGAGCCTTGCACCCCCCTTTGGCTCTCTATCGTGTTAAAAAAGACATAGAACGATCACAAATACACAAATACACATGGCGTGATGAAACCAAATCAGCTGCAATTCAACGTGCCCGTGCTACATTTGTGTTTTCGATTATTTGCCTTCTAAAAAAAATCTGTCCATGTCTCGCACGCCCAGGTGAAGAGCCACGTGGTCTACACAGGTGAAGAGCCACGTGGTCTACACAGGTGAAGAGTCACGTGGTCTACACAGGTGAAGAGTCACGTGGTCTACACAGGTGAAGAGCCACGTGCTCTACACAGGTGAAGAGTCACGTGGTCTACACAGGTGAAGAGCCACGTGGTCTACACAGGTGAAGAGCCACGTGGTCTACACAGGTGAAGAGCCACGTGGTCTACACAGGTGAAGAGTCACGTGGTCTACACAGGTGAAGACTCACGTGGCCTACACAGGTGAAGAGTCACGTGGTCTACACAGGCGAAGAGCCACGTGGTCTACACAGGCGAAGAACCACGTGGTCTACACAGGTGAAGACTCACGTGGCCTACACAGGTGAAGACCCACGTGGCCTACACAGGTGAAGAGTCACGTGGTCTACACAGGTGAAGACCCACGTGGCCTATACAGGTGAAGAGTCACGTGGTCTACACAGGTGAAGAGTCACGTGGTCTACACAGGTGAAGACCCACGTGGTCTACACAGGTGAAGAGCCACGTGGCCTACATAGGTGAAGAGTCACGTGGTCTACACAGGTGAAGACCCACGTGATCTACAGAGGTGAAGACCCACGTGGTTTACACAGGTGAAGACCCACGTGGTCTACACAGGTGAAGAGTCACGTGGTCTACACAGGTGAAGAGCCACGTGGTCTACACAGGCGAAGAGCCACGTGGTCTACACAGGCGAAGAGCCACGTGGTCTACACAGGCGAAGAGCCACGTGGTCTACACAGGCGAAGAGCCACGTGGTCTACACAGGCGAAGAGCCACGTGGTCTACACAGGTGAAGACTCACGTGGCCTACACAGGTGAAGAGTCACGTGGTCTACACAGGCGAAGAGCCACGTGGTCTACACAGGCGAAGAACCACGTGGTCTACACAGGTGAAGACCCACGTGGCCTACACAGGTGAAGAGTCACGTGGTCTACACAGGTGAAGACCCACGTGGCCTATACAGGTGAAGAGTCACGTGGTCTACACAGGTGAAGAGTCACGTGGTCTACACAGGTGAAGACCCACGTGGTCTACACAGGTGAAGAGCCACGTGGCCTACATAGGTGAAGAGTCACGTGGTCTACACAGGTGAAGACCCACGTGATCTACAGAGGTGAAGACCCACGTGGTCTACACAGGTGAAGAGTCACGTGGTCTACACAGGTGAAGAGTCACGTGGTCTACACAGGTGAAGAGCCACGTGGTCTACACAGGTGAAGAGCCACGTGGTCTACACAGGTGAAGAGTCACGTGGTCTACACAGGTGAAGAGTCACGTGGTCTACACAGGTGAAGACCCACGTGGTCTACACAGGTGAAGAGCCACGTGGTCTACACAGGTGAAGAGTCACGTGGTCTACACAGGTGAAGAGCCACGTGGTCTACACAGGTGAAGAGCCACGTGGTCTACACAGGCGAAGAGCCACGTGGTCTACACAGGCGAAGAGCCACGTGGTCTACACAGGCGAAGAGCCACGTGGTCTACACAGGTGAAGAGTCACGTGGTCTACACAGGCAAAGAGCCACGTGGTCTACACAGGCGAAGAACCACGTGGTCTACACAGGCGAAGACTCACGTGGTCTACACAGGTGAAGAGCCACGTGGTCTACACAGGCGAAGAGCCACGTGGTCTACACAGGCGAAGACCCACGTGGTCTACACAGGTGAACAGTCACGTGGTCTACACAGGTGAAGACTCACGTGGCCTACACAGGTGAAGACCCACGTGGCCTACACAGGTGAAGAGTCACGTGGTCTACACAGGCGAAGAACCACGTGGTCTACACAGGTGAAGACTCACGTGGCCTACACAGGTGAAGACCCACGTGGCCTACACAGGTGAAGAGTCACGTGGTCTACACAGGTGAAGACCCACGTGGCCTATACAGGTGAAGAGTCACGTGGTCTACACAGGTGAAGAGTCACGTGGTCTACACAGGTGAAGAGTCACGTGGTCTACACAGGTGAAGACCCACGTGGCCTATACAGGTGAAGAGTCACGTGGTCTACACAGGTGAAGAGTCACGTGGTCTACACAGGTGAAGAGTCACGTGGTCTACACAGGTGAAGAGTCACGTGGTCTACACAGGTGAAGAGCCACGTGGGCTACATAGGTGAAGAGTCACGTGGTCTACACAGGTGAAGACCCACGTGATCTACAGAGGTGAAGACCCACGTGGTTTACACAGGTGAAGACCCACGTGGTCTAGACAGGTGAAGACCCACGTGGTCTAGACAGGTGAAGAGTCACGTGGTCTAGACAGGTGAAGAGTCACGTGGTCTAGACAGGTGAAGACCCACATGGTCTAGACAGGTGAAGACCCACGTGGTCTAGACAGGTGAAGAGTCACGTGGTCTAGACAGGTGAAGACCCACGTGGTCTAGACAGGTGAAGAGTCACGTGGTCTAGACAGGTGAAGACCCACGTGGTCTAGACAGGTGAAGACCCACGTGGTCTAGACAGGTGAAGAGTCACGTGGTCTAGACAGGTGAAGAGTCACGTGGTCTAGACAGGTGTATTCTTGCCCTTCGTCTCGTGATCTCAAAGCCGAGTGAAAGTAAATTAAAATAACTGTCCCACCCTTGCGGCGAAGACGACGAAGACTTTGTGGGGTAACTTCTGTGACAATGACGACGTTTACGATGGACTCACCCGCGCTGTGTCGAGCGAGTGCGGTGCATGCGAGGGGGTAGCTCCTGAAGGGGAACCACATCCCACGCGCACTCACCACACTCACCCAACTCACCGCCACACTCACCACACTCACCGACTCACCACACTCACCGCCACACTCACCCAACTCACCACACTCACCGCCACATTTACCGACTCGCCACACTCACCGACTCACCACACTCACCGCCACACTCACCACACTCACCGCCACACTCACCGCCACACTCACCGACTCACCACACTCACCGACTCACCGCCACACTCACCACACTCGCAAC